ATTTGTTTGTCTAACAAAAAAAATCCATTTTTTAAAAGATTTACTTATTTATTATTTATCTATCTATCAGAGACAGAAGAGAGAGAGAGGCAGAGGGAGAGCCAGATTCCCCGATGAGCAAGGAGCCCAACCCGGGACTCGATCCCAGGACTCTAGGATCATAACCCGAACCAAAGGCAGATGATTAACCAAATGAGCCACCCAGGCATCCCAAAAAGTCCATCTTTTTACAACTGGTTTGGACTAATTGGGATCCAAACGAAGTCCCCAGCATTGGCACGCATGTCTCTTAAACTGCTTTCACGGTTTGTGATAGCTCTTCCTTTTTCCCTAGCGAAACTTCTGACTCGGATCCGGCCGACCGATTCCTCCCAGCCTCAACTACCCCGTCCCTGTGAGCGGTGTATTCCTGTCACTGATCACACCTGGAGGCTACCTGGATTCGGGTTCGGTGGCTTGCGCAGGAGGCAGGGTGGTTCACAGGTGGTCGTGTGTGCTTCTCCCTGCACCGCACCAGAAGCACGCACGTGCCTGCCTGTCCCCTTGCAGTGGCTGAGCGGTGGGCCCCCAACTCACCACGCTGCCTGTCGCTCTCCTCAGCGTCCTTCACACGAACTCTGTGAGGTGGACACTGCTACTATCCCCACCACAGTCATGGCACTTGCCTACTTAATGGCACCAGGTTCGGAGAACCTGAAGCCACCAACGCCACCGAGGGGCCTGCACCTGAGCTCAAACAGACCCCTTCCCACTTTTCTAAGTCCTGAAACATCCCCACAGGGCCTTTCGGAACTCCTGGTCAGACCCCAGCAAAAAGCCTTGTGTCCTCGGCGCCTCCTGATGGTTCCCTTTTCCTTAAGCCCATTTAAACCCTGGCTCTCCTGAGGGCACTGCTTGCCCTGCCCTCATGTCCTCAGACACCACTCACTTCCCCTCCACGTGGCAGACTTCGATGGCCCACTTTCCTTCTCTCCCTGAAGATTCAAGCAGGGTCCTTACTGATGCTCTAAAATGAGGCCTGTCCTAACACAGACGGCCCTGCCAAGCCCTGGCCTCAGCTCCTTGACCTTCCAGCCTTCAGTGCTTTTGTCTGCTCCCTTCCTGCAGCCCCTGACACCCATGGCTGCACCTCAGGTATTACACCAAGGGCAACCCTCCAAGAGCATGACCTTAAATATCCCATTCTCTGACTTCCTCTGTCTTTCCAGCTTCTGCACTCCAGCATCCTGACTCCAACAATTTTTTGGCCCCAAGGACCCACCACTTTTTCACTGACAAATCTAGAACCCCATGACGTTCACATACAGGATTTGTAAAGGCGAAAATTTCACCCAAAGACGACGAAGTTGATCAGCTTTTAAACAAAAACTATCAAGTAGCACTGAGACACGGAAACCTCTCTAGAGAGCTAGAGATAGCTCTGCTCACACATTAAATGACCCTCTTACTATTCTGGAAAAATAAAAAACCCGAGGACAAGGATTTTATGGCTGTGTGATTAGTCTAGCTGTAGGACAGATATGAGATGATATCATAATCATGGCCTGCCTGTTGCAGGATGTGCAGTGACACAGAAAAGGAAGGAAAGCCAAAAACCAGTCAAGAATTACACCAATTCAAGTTTTGGTTCTTCAAATTCAAATCCAAAGGTTTCCACAACACTGTCTACTGGGACTGAGATCTCTGGAGGACACAGATGCAAGAAGGGCATCTTCTCCTTTGGAAACTAGCTTAAATGATTTGATACCCTGTACTACGATTTCCCCTGGGACAATTTTTCTTTTTTAAAGATTTTATTTATTTGTCAGAGAGAGAGAGCACACAAGCAGAGGGAGCGGCAGGCTCCCCGCTGAGCAGGGGGACCCTGGGATCATGACCTGAGCCAAAGGCAGGCAACACAAATCCAAAGGCTATGCAAGTTAAAAACTGCTACCAAAATGTAGGGAGTGTGATAACTTAATCCTATTCGAGAGACAAAACATAAAGAGCTCTTGCTTTATGATTACCCATGGTTGAAAACCATGTCCATCTGATGTGGTCACAAAACACCCTTCCAGGAAACTAAACTTTGAGGAGCTGCTGATCCGTGCAACTCTTTCGTCATCAAAAAGTAACCCCCAGAAATCAAGGTAGAGCTCTGAATGGGCATGGTCTCTACTTACTATGTGTACAGACAACTAAAAATTAGAAAACCTGTCAAGCTTTTTGAAAATGAAAGGATTTTATTGTCCTCATTTGGAGCCCATGACATTTGAGTTATCCTTAAACTGAACTTTTACCAGCTTCTAGAAGAATTTTTTTTTTCAACTCTTCATTTTCTGAGCCAAAAGATTAATGAAATCATAGCCACAAAACAGGATGGGCCTGTTACCAAGAAACAGCAAGCCACCTGCACCGAGTTCAATAGAACATTCATGAAAAGAAGAGACGGTCTCAAACAACTTAGTACCAAACCACAGAGTTTTCCAACCTCTTGAGTCCATTTTCATCAAGTAGAGATAAAGCTGAAGAAAACGTGACACCAGTCTAGAACCCCGGGTTCCCATTTGGTCCCCGTCTCTTCGCTGCAAGGCCATGCTCAAACGCTGGAGCACCTGGGCCAGTGGAAGTTCTGTTCCCAAACTGCTTTATCAAAGGAAGAAGGACAACTAGAGCCGCACAGAAGAGAGCTCTCATTTTGTGCTTCAAAGAAAGGATCCCAATTTCTCACAGTAAACAGAAATCATTATTCGGAAGGATTAAATATCAACAAGATAGGACAGGAAATCAGATACATCTACAACTGACAAAGTTATATCCCAGCCTTCGAGTCAAGACCCAAACCCCACCTCTCCAAATGGAAAGTAATTGTACAACCAATAATGAATCCATGGGCACTTCAAACCTGTCAACACTCAAAATTCAATTGCAACCAAAGTCAGCAAATAGCCCTCTAAGTTGCCTAAGAATAGGGCTCCTTCTTCCAAGCCTTCCAGTGAGAAAGACAGGAATGCGGAAATATGGTTTCAGACAAGTTTGCCAGCAATATAAGCAGTGGTTACTAGTCGGTACGGCCTGCAGCCCAGAATCCAAACAAGGAAACGGCCTAACAGCAAGACAGTTATCAGAAGAAGGTTCCTCAAATTAAAATTCCCCGGCAGTCCCGAATTGTGGCATCTTACAAGCCTCTTCCTCCCAGCAGCAATGCCAATGAGAATGTATTGTCCCTGTTATCATCTTACCGACATGACTTCTGCCCAAGAGAAACTGATTCCAAACTTTGTAATGGCATTAGATTCAGCAAAAGAAAGCACTGAGGAGCTTGGACCCCCCAAACACACCTTGTGCGAGAGTAAGACCAAACATGTATGAGAAAGGGAAGACCCTGAAGATAAAATCCCCAAACGTGTACAGGATTGCTAAGTCTGTTTCTGTTTCTCTCTGGCTAACTGTAGAATATTTTAGATGGGCTACTGTTGTATTTCACTGAAATTACATTTTGGATTCGGAACTTTTTAAAGTCAGGAGGAGAGGAGAGTATGAACATAATAAATGCGACCTAGTATTTTAAAAGCTCAGCTGACCGCCCCCCCCCAATGGCCCACCAACCCTCAAACCACCAGGTGCAAGCTTCAGTTTCAGGGAAACTAAGTTTATTTATAGCAATTTTTTCTGATGCAAGGGCTAAAACAGGTATTTCCAATATAAAATATATGGTACGAAAAATTAAAAACTTATAATTTCTTTTGACTTTTGTGCTTTGTTGCAATGGAAGCTTACTCCCAATCCTGCTCCAGCCACATTCCTTCCCAACACGGGAAGTGGCAAGTGTAACAGTGTCTCAGTTGCTTGGGTCATAAACCCTGAAGCCATCCCTCACTTTGTCATATGCCTCACATATTCCCTTAGCACATCCAGTTCACTCCACTCTGTTAAACCTAGAATCCCACCGCTCTCTCCATGTCCGCTGCCACCATGCTAGAGAGACCCATCACCAGCTCCCATGTGGGGTACTACAGTAACTGCCCCTCTGGTCTCCCACCCTCACTTCCTACTCAGGTCTCCACAGAGGCCAGACCCTCACTTCCTACTCAGGTCTCCGCAGAGGCCAGACCCTCACTTCCTACTCAGGTCTCCGCAGAGGCCAGACCCTCACTTCCTACTCAGGTCTCCACAGAGGCCAGAGAGCGAGATCCCTCCAAAACACAAGTCAGATCATATCATTCCTCTGCTCAAAATCCTCTAATAGCCTAGCACCATCTGATGTCTTTCTTGGTCATGGGAGCCTCTTGTTTCTGGAACATTCCAGGCACACTTCTGCCTCAGGGCCTTCATACTTGCTGTTTGCTTTGCCTGGAATACTCTTCTCTCCTGATACACACCTGACTCCCATTCTTCAAGTATTTGCTCAAATGTAGCTGCTCAGTGTGACCTGTTTTTCAATGGCAAACTCCCACCTCCCCAGGCATTCTCCCTGTTCTGCATTATTTCTCACCACAGAGTTTACCACCTACTGATACATTTTTATTTATTAATGTCTTGCTTTCAAAATGTAAAGTACCCGAAGGTGGTAATTTTTCAGTTTTGTTTACTGCTGTATCCCTAGCACCTAAAACACTCAAATATTCGATGAATGAACGCAACAGGCCAAATAGCTGAATGTGAAATAGCTTATGAACTGCGATGTCTTCACTCAAGAGTAACAAAGACAAAGAGTAAGTGCATCCCAAATGAGCAGCAATGCACACAGAACAGAGTCGCAGTAGATGATTACTCAATCAACAACCAAATGAATTCTCTTAGAAACGAAACTCCCTTCCACAGAAACCACGGCCCTAGGATCAAATGAATTCAGATGGGTCTCTGGCAGTATGAGCAAAGCAAAAACAATCTACCCAAGTCTGTCCTAAGTGCCTTTACACTTACATAAAGACTATGGATGTTGGTCACATTTAAACATTTATGATGCTTCGAAAAACATATTGCGGGAGAAAAAAATACATATAAAAATAAAATTGTACAAAGTATAAAGTTCTTCATTAAAATAGTAGTTTAAATAAATCCTGTCAATACCACCCAGAGGCAGTCATCTAGACAGGAGAACTTAGAGCTTGTTACATAATTACACAAGAACACGAGAGCCCATGCTCACGACAGCGCCGTGAGAATGCCTTCTAGGTGTAGCTCACCACGCAGGCAGGAAAAGCGACTAATGGAAGATTACTCTATGTCTCGAGTTCTGGTTCTATTTGCCCTTTTTCATCTTGGCCGTCTTCTCCTTCCTTTTTTTCACATGCTTCGGAATTTTGTTTTTTCTTTTCTCTCTCTGGGCTTCCTTGACCATCTTTTTTCTTTCCTGTAAAACAAAAACAAAAATAAAGGAACCTGCAGATTTCACTCAGAGTATTCATTTTACTATTACAACTAAGTAAGAAAATATATGTGAAAGGATAAAAGTGAGTATAACAGGAAAAGATGAAAATGATTAGGATGTGGTGGTGCAATTTGGTTCCAAATTTGTCTTTACGGTTTCTTAAAAGAAATTTGAAGAGTGCCAAACAGAAATATCTGGGAGGACTATTAAATGTTTGCAACTACTTTTCTTCACAAGTTTCATATTCTAACAGAAATACAGGTTGGAAAGAGACAAAATATTTGCAGTAGACAAAGAGAGAAAACGTGTGCATTAGCTTGGGTATGTCTCTCAGAAGTCTTAGGGCCCTGAACATTATAAGGATTAAAGGCTTAAACTAAGAATGAACAGTAACATTTACAGAGCAATCATGTATCATTTGTCTCTTATGCTGATGGCTAGGAGCTGAATAAGCCTTTTAGATTCTGGAAACACCGGCTGAGTTGCATATCCCCTATGAAATGAGCCTTCAGGATTTCACCATGGGACAACTCCAACATCAATCGTGTTTCAAGTGAATGACAATCATTTCTAATCGATGAATTCAGTGTGTCCTCTCTCTAAGCAGTGCCCAGGGAGCTGCTAACAGAAGCCCAATCTCTACAACGATGTGACCTCCAAAGGCAAAGTTCACACTAGCACTACAACTAATCAATAATCTTTTCAGCCATCATAACCTAGTAAACAAGAAACGAAACTGGCTTTGCTACAATGCTGAAGAACAAGGGAATTTGAGTTCTCGGCTCACCTTTTTATCAACTTCAACGTCAGCAGTGGGTTTCCTGGAGCAGGCCTGTTCTCCCTGCTCTTCTGAGTCTATGTCAGAACACTCAGAGCTTCCAGCATCTTCTGAATCAGAACAAGCCTTTTCCTTAGCCTGATTTTCTAGAAGTGCAGGGACCTTGAAAATATTACAAAACCAAGTTATTCTATAAACCGTTTAGTCACCTACTGTTAAATGCGATAATGGTAGAATTCAGAGTTTTCAGCCTTGCACGTATACGGTGAACAACCACATCCTGTACTGAAACACTGAGAACAACAGAATCAACATCAGGGAGGAAGCATGGAAGCAGGGCATCGAGGGAGGCTCCAGAACACACCCAAATGAAGGAACTGGGGCTTCATTGGGTGACCCAGATCACTGACAGAACTGAGCTGGATTTGGAAGGAGAAATACAGATAGAAGTAAAAAATAAAGATGGATTTGGATAACTTCACAGCTATTTTCCTATGAATTGAATTTCAAGCAATACTTACCATTAGTCCAATCAAGAGGGAAAACAATATTTAAACAAGAGAAATTGGTGCTCCCCCCCCCCCCCCCCCCCCCCGAAGTTCAGCAGTTTTTTAAGCAGCATGAAACATTTTTTAAAAACAAGAAGTTTTGGGGGCACCTGGGTGGCTCAGTTGATTAGGCAACCGCCTTTAGCTCAGGGCATGATCCTGGAGTCCTGGGATCGAGTCCTGCATCGGGCTCCCTGCTCAGCGGGGAGTCTGCTTCTCCTTCTGACCCTCCTCCCTCTCATGCTCTCTGTCTCTCATTCTCTCTCTCAAATGAATAAATAAAATCTTTTAAAAATAAATAAATAAAAACAAAAAAATAAAAAACAAGAGGTTTTGGGTGCCTGGGTGGCTCAGTCGGTTGAGTGGCTGCCTTCGGCTCAGGTCATGATCCTGGAGTCCCAGGATCGAGTCCCGCATCAGGCTCCCTGCTCAGTGAGGAGTCTGCTTCTCCCTCTGACCCTCCTCCCTCTCATGCTCTCTCTCTCTCTCTCAAATAAATAAAAAAATTTTTATAAAAAATAAAAAACAAGAGGTTTTCTTTTGTAAGAAAAAATAATCTTTAAAAGGCAATTATACAGAAAGGTTTTCTAGCCAGTTTTCACAAAATCTTCATGTGCTGGAACTCAAGGCACAACTGCCCTATAACACTTACTATATGTAACACATACTGAACATGTGAGTTTTCCTAATTCAATTCTTCCAAAAACAAAGACACAGTAAAATTTCCAAAAGCAAACTATGATCCTTCACATTTAAGCCTTTAATTAAGAACATCCAAATAGGGGTGCCTAGGTGGCTGAGTCAGTTAAATGTCCGATTCTTGATCTCAGGTCAGTTCAAGTCCTAAGTTGGGCTCCACGCAGGGTGTGGAGCCGACTTTATTTATTTTTTTAATTTTATGTATTTATTTGGAGGGGGGGGAGAGGGGGGGAGGGGGGGGGGGAGAGAGAGAGAGAGAGAGAGAGCAAGCGAGCGGTGACTGAGCCACCTAGGCGCCACGCATGGAACCTACTTTAAAAACAAAATAAAACATTAAAATAAATAAGAACTGCCTTTATTTTTGTTTACATTAGAATCCACACCATTCTAAAAATGTAAAACAAGATTGTTTCAAGAAAAAGCACTACAGGAATCCAGAACTATAAAACTGCTAAACCTGTGAGACTGCTCTGCAACAGGTTTTATACCAGTATGAGACCAGATTCCCTTGTTTTTTTTTTAACTGTAAAAACACCAAGAAACACCTGGTTATCATTAATAATTTCATAAAGACCAGGATATAAAAAGTATCAATGCCTCAGCAATAACAACAGAACAACTGACAGAAATAAACCACAAATTCCTGTATTTCAGTCTTACAGTTAAAAAAGTGAACACAAATCAGGCATTTCTGAAAATGCCCAAAAACTTTGGAAACATCTATACTAGTAATACTATTATTAGTTTAATTCTAGTATACAGTAGGTTTTATAGGCTTCCAAAGAGTATTCACGTAAATGAACATCAACACAAGTTCTCATACCTTCTGAACTCCGGACAGATCTTTCTTCAATCCTGTAACGGTCTGGTACAGAATCTTATTACCAAAAAGACAAAAAGAAGAATCAACATAAAGCTAAGCAGTGAAAAACACACATTGTAATATTATGAAAGAACACTGTGGGCTAATAATCTTCTGTGATTATTAAAAGGTGCAGAAAGTTTATAGCATGGGTATTAGTCTTGCCCACCGAGCATACAGGCACTAGCAAACTCTGGCCCAGAGCCCACCCACAGCCTGCTGGTTTTTACAAATGAACCTTTACCACCAATTTTATAAGAGAAAACTCTTAACTGTGATTCTCAATTAAATGGAATGTATTCTTCTCCCCAAAATAACTCCATTCTTCTCTCATTATTAGGAATCATGAAAAGCTGTATCAATTATTATTAAAGGGCTTTTAATTTCCTCAAAAAAAAACTTGGGGAATTTTTCTTTTTCTTATTTTATAATGACCTACATAATAGCCTCAATTTTGCTTCTTTGCCTGCAAAGTCTAAAATATTTACTATCTGGCCTTTTCACAGGAAGAAATGTTCCAGACCTTGAAATATGTATGTTAATGGACCTAGTGTAATAACCATTTACAGCCCAGACTTTACGCAAATCTTCCATTTTCTGCAACTATAGTCTATTGGACTCAAATGTGCCATTTTCTTTCACAAATACCAGTGAATTCCCTTTACATCCAATGTGCACAGAGGAATATTAATGCAAAGGGAATCAGCCATCTCAGAAGATTAGAAGCCAACATTCAAGATGGCAGGTTTGGGACAGTAGCTTCCTCTATAAACTTGCTTGTTATATACAAACGAAGCTACTCACATTGTCTTGTTGGGCATTCATGGCCATATCTTCTTCCTTCAATTTCATCATTATATCCATATCCCTTTCATAGTTTTTTACTTCATTCAAGGTTCTAGGAATATATGCTCTCTTAAACACCTAACAGACACAGGAAAAGAAAATCAAAAGTGCTATTCACATGCTTCTCTCATTCCCTGAGCATCCCACACCCACCACATCTGAAGACTCTGCCGTCATCTATAGCACGGATCCTCAGCCAGGCTCTGCACACACTGGTGTTGCTGTGCGGATCCCAAAAGGACTCTGTTACTAACAATAAAATGTGAAATTATTTGAAGTCCCCTCTTTCCCCTTGTTTGCATTCCAGAAAGCTTTTCTGAGTGGGAAAGAAAGGAATGGAGTTGCAGTTAGCAAGTACTGCCTCCGGCTAGGCCTTACAAAGGAACATGTTCTTACATGGAACTATTACCTACCCTGTGCTACGGTGGAAAAGGATTCAGAACTGCTGATAAATATAGGGTGCCTTATATTCATCCATCACACTAATAGCTCTGAGAATTTTTGATAAAAAGTCTACTATGGGGGAGCCTGGGTGGCACAATCAGTTGAGAGACCAACTCCTGGTTTCGACTCAGGGCGTGATCTCAGGGTCCCGAGATTGAGCCCTAAGTCGGGGTCTAGGCTTAGTGTCGAGTCTGCTTGAGATTCTCTCTCCCTCTCCCTTTGCCCCTCCCACTTGTTCTTTCCCTCTCTCAAACAAATAAATAAATCTTTAAAAAATACACTGATCCCCAAGATTAAAATAATTTTCTTTTTCACCACACATATTTAAAGTCTACAATGGTACCAAAATCAACACTTAAATCATTTAAAATTCACATTTGTGAACGGAGATGGGTTTTTCCTTCTTGAATGTTTTAGTAAGTTCTTTAAAAACGTTCTCTATCTAAAGCATTATACGCCCTAATTTCAAACTACACAACAAAGCTATAATAATCAAAACAGTACAGCACTAGCACAAAAACAGACACAAGGATCAATGGAACAGAATAAAGAGCCCAGAAATAAACCCATGCATATAAGATCAATTAATTTACAACGAAGGAGATACGAATATATAACAGGGAAAGGACAGTCTCTTCAATAAATGGTATTGGGAAAACTGGACAGCCACATGCAAAAGAATGAAATTGAATGACTACCTTACCATACATAAAAATAAACTCACGATAGAGCAAAAACCTAAATGTAAGATCTAAAACTTTAAAATTCCTAAAAGAAAAAGGCAGTAAACTTAAATACAGTCTTAGTAGTATTTTTTTGGATCTTTCTCCTCAGGCAAGGGCAACAAAAGCAAAAATAAGCAAATGGGGACTACGTCAAACTAAAAACCTTTCACAGGAAACAAAACCATCAACAAAAAGACAGCCTACTGAGTGGGAGAAGGTATTTGCAAATGATGTATCTGATAGGGGGTTAATATCCACAAAATATAAGGAACTCGTAAAACTCACCACCAACAAAAAACAATCTGATTAAAAAATGAGCAGAGGACCTGAAAAGAGATTTTTCCAAAGACATACAGATGGCCAACACTCCCATGAAAACATGCTCAGCATCACCGTAGAGATACAAATCTAAACCACAATGAGATCACCTCACACCAGTCAAAATGGCTAGTAGTATCAAAAAGAAGTAAGTGTTGGCAAAGATGTAGAGAAAAGAGAACCCCCATACACTGCTGGTGGGAATGCAAAATGGTGCAGCCACTACGGAAAAATGTATGGAGGTTCCTCAAAAAATTAAAAATAGAACTACCACAGAATTCAGCAATTCTACTTCTGGGTATTTATCCAAAGAAAACAAAAACACTAATTCGAAGAGATACATGCACCACTATGTTCACTGTAGTATTATTTACAATAGCCAAAATAAGGAAGAAGCGTAAGTGCCCATTAATAAAGAAAATGTATATACACACACACACACAAACACACAATAAAATATTACTCAGCCTTAAAAGAGTAAAATCTTGCCATTTGTGACAACATGGATGGATCTCAAAGGTATTATGCTTAGTGAAATAAGACCGAGAAAGATAAATACTACATGATTTTACTTATATGTGGGTTCTATAAAAACAAAACAAATGAACACACAAAACAGAAACAGACTCATAGATATAGAGAACAAACTGGCGGTTGCCAGATGGGGAGAGGATGGGGGAATGAGAAGGGGATTAGAGGTATAAACTTGTAGTTTTAAAATAAATAAACCACAGGTATATAAGATACTGCATAGGAAATACAGTCAATAACATAGTAACTATGTATGGTGAGAAATGGTAACTAGACTTAGTGTGGTGACTAGTCAGTAATGTACATAAATGCTGAATCACTGTGCTGCACATGTGAAAGTAATACAATATTGCCCATTAACTATATTCTGCAAATAAGTACAGAAAGCTCTCCATCTAGGACAATGGGCTAATAGGTTGCTGAGTGGAATGATGTAATGAAATGTAATTTATCCCATTTGGCTCAGTTAAATGATGTAAAAGGAAATATTCTCATCATCTGAAAACTGCTTCTCTCTTAAAATCAAGTTGGTGACCTAGTATGCCCTCAAAAAACAAACACTCAGAACAGAGCGTTTCCTACGGCTGTACAAAGATGATACATCTTACCTCTTCGTCCACATGATCTTGGCTGGACCTTTCTTCCTTGGTCCTCTGAGATGCTATTTCCATGGCCTTGGAAAGAAATCAAAAGTTACTTTCCTTTATATTCAACCTACAGAAGATGCATCCATTTCTCAATTTTAGTATAAACCTGCTCTCACCTTTATCAGTATCACCTCTACAGTTCCAAAAAAAAGAACTCTGAGGCCTCTAGTGATACAGGTTAACTCTGTCAAATCTCACCAAAAAGGCTGCTATCAGCTCAAAAGTAACAGTATAAATCAAACCATTTAGCCTTGGGGAATCCCTACCCTTTCCTCAAGAGTAGAACTACTTTCCCTAATTTTTTTTTAAAGATTTTACTTATTTGAGACAGAGAGAGAGAGAGAGAGCATGAGCAGGGGGAGGGGCAGAGGTAGAGGGAGAAGCAGACGCCCCACTGAGCAAGGAGCCCAACACAAACTCGATCCCAGGACCCTGGGATCACGACCTGAGCCGAAGGCAGACGCTCAACCGACTGAGCCACCCAGGTGCTCCTAATTGTTTTTTAAGTAGGCTCCACACCCAGTGCAGAGCCTAACATGGGACTTGAACTCAAGACCCTACTTTCCCTAATTTTTAAATGATTAGCAAAAATATTTACTAAAGGAAAACTGAGACCCAAAGAATGGAAGAACCACCCTTTAATTCTTCAGCAATGAAGGGAATCAAAGAGGAAAGGGGGATTGTCCTCTAACTTTGAGCATGTGTCTCTAAAGCTGCAGAAAAATAAACCACCAAAGAAATCTCTTTGAGTAAACAGTGACTGCAACTAAGGTGACAAAGATTCTCCAAGAGTCTTTTGGCTTGGAAAACTGGAAAACTGGAGATTTGTTCTCTACTTAGGATACATAGAAAAAAGGAAAGAATTGTGGTACTAGGGTTCTTTGTTTTACATTCAGACACTAAATTAGTGCTAAAAGTTTTAAGAATAAAAACGGTATGTATTTATTCAATTAATATATGTGATTGCTTAGTATGTGCCAGGTACTGATTAGGTAATGGCAATACAAGAATAAACTTCCTGTCCCGTGTGGGCTCATGGTCCAGTAGAGGCTGACGACATTAAAAAGAACTTAACAACAGGAGTGGCTGGGTGGCTCAGTCGGTTAAACATCTGACTCTTGATCTCAGCTCAGGTCTTGATCTCAGGGTTGTGAGTTCAAGCCCTGCTCAGTGTGGAGACTACTTAAAAAAAAAAAAAAAAAGAACTTAATGACAAGTGAGGTAGTACGACCACTTCTACTACAGGCTCACATGATCTGGAAAATACACCTGCAAAAACAATGATTTCTGCATGATTTCTCCTTGAGAAAGTTTTCTGAATGGAGCCCTAATGTAGCCCAACAAGCACAAGAAAAGATGCTCAACATCACTCATCATCAAGGAAATGCAAATCAAAACCATCAGACACCACCTCACACCTATTAGGATAGCTACTCCAAAAAAAGAAAAAACCAACACAAAAAACCAGAAAATGGTGAGGATGTATGTGGAGAAACTGGCACCCTCTGCAGTGTTGGGTGGGAATGTAAAATGGTTTCACCACTAAGAAGAACAGTATGGTAGTTCCCCAAAAAATTAAAAGCAGAATTACTATATAATGCACAATTCCACTTTTGGGTATACACCCAAAGGAATTGAAAGCAGGGTCTTGAAGAGAGATTTGTGCACCCATGTTCAAAGCAGCATTATTCACCAACACCCAAGAGATGGATGCACCCCAAGTGTCCATTCACAGAAGAATGGATGCACAGGATGTATATGTACTCCATGAAAGAATCTTGAGGACATTATGTTAAGGGAAACAAGTGGCCAGAACAAGAAAAAAACAGCATGATTCCACTTATGTGAGGTACCTACAGTAGGCAACATCACAGAGAGAAAGCAGAACAGGCTGGGGGTAGCGAGAAATGGGGAGTTAATGTTTAATGGGTACGGAGTTTGTATTTTACAAGATGAGAAAGTTCTGGAGATGGACGGTGGTGATGGTTGCACAACAGTGTGAATGTACGTAATGCCACTGAACGTACACTTACACATGGTTACAATGGTAAGTTTTACGCTATGTGCATTTTACCACACGTGCAAAAGTTCGGTGATTCAAAAAGGCCTCTGAGAAACAAGGGAAAGACCAGAAGCCGAACAGGTCTATGGCGGTCTATGTAATCTCGCCCAATGCTTCAGGTCAAGAAACCTGGATTTCCCATTGACTTTTTACTGTATTTTTGATTCCCTATGTGTGAAATCAGGAGGTCTCAAGAAGCTGTTGAAACGAACATACACTGAGCAATCGGAGTCCCTGAGAAGCAGCACGTAAGTGCAAATTACTACTATTTTCTGTTCTTTCTTTTCCTCACCCCATCTCACCTTTGAGAGGTAAGCGTCCATGTTCTCCTGTGTAATGGACGGATCTGTGACAAATTCAAAGAGTTCCCGCACAGTCATCACAGCAACGCTGTGCTTCAAAAAGAAATCTGTTGGAAGGAAAACGCAGCACAGCCTTAGGAGGGAAAAAGTTGTTACTCCAACTACGTTATGGAGAAACAAAGAGATGATTAAAAATACACCATCTCCCAGCAAATGGTAGAAGTATCACTACATCAAAAGATTTAGTGCCAAGATTTGACATCAACAGCTTACCAGAGTGCAGAATCAACAGACACAAACAAGCTGGTAGGAAATTCCAATTCCCGCTCACCGTTGACGTTGGCACAGTCCTTTCTCAAGAACTCCAAGGCATGTGGGTGGTCATGCTCTACAGACTGAGAAACGTCAATGATGTACACACCTCCACCGTAGTACCTGTGGGCCACAGACGCAGGGACTTGGGACCTACTTTCCTGCATTTTGTTGTTTAAAAAAATTCTATCTTAAGAGCAAGCGAAATAACCAATAGAACGAACAAAGTGGGTAAGGATAAGAGGCCACTCTGACTAGCAAGAGATGAAAACTGAGACAATTTCCAAAGTCTTAGAACTCTGTTAATGATCAGATGGTCAGTTCTGTGACTAAGGCCACCGCAAGCACAGAACACATCCTCTACTATGACCATGGGGAAGCCAGCTTTAAATCTTTAGAATTTAAAAATGACTTCTTGGGGTTGCCTGGGGGGCTCAGTTGTTAAGCGTCTGCCTTCGGCTCAGGTCATGATCCCAGGGTCCTGGGTTAGAGCCCCGCATCGGGCTCCCTGCTCAGTGGGGAGTCTGCTTCTCCCTCTCCTCCCCGGTCGTGCTCTATCTCTGTTTCTCTCTCTCAAATAAATTAAAAAATAAAAAAGCAAAAAATAAAGTAAAAATAAAAATGACTTCTTGGATTGGGATTTTATTTTTTTAAAGGACATGAAACGCTGTACAGGAGGTTCCCAAGGGACAAAACGCACTCACAGCATGTTAAATTCACTGAGATCTGCATGGACAAGTCTGGCATCTTGATACATTCTTCTCATGTATTGGATGACCTGCAAATACAACTCCCGAGCCTTGGATTCTGATAACTGGACGTTTTTCAACAGTGGCGCTGGCCTTGAATACAAATAAAATGAACTAAAATAAAATGCCCCAGAACAAGTTTTCTTGCTTTATACTACACATTGCTACATGGACTTCTTTTCAACAACTTATCACTGAGCAACTGGGTCACTATAGATGTACCAATCAAAAAGTTGTCAAGAAACAGGTGTTCTCCCAGTTTACTGTATAAAACATTCCTCAAAACAGGGTGAACTTTGTTATTCTGAAGCACTTTGAGACTTAAAAAGGTAGAATAAATGAGCAACTCTATGCACAAGTACAGTGGAAAAGATTCACAAAAAACATTCCAAGATGAAAGGAGCTATTTAAATGGGAAATAGTCGTATGTCAGATAATTCAAAGCACTTAAAAACAGACTTCTGAGTATGTAATTATTAGGCCTTCTATGTACTCACATGTCATCTTTACCAATGAAGCCCATGACAAGAACATGACTTCTCAGCAGGATAGGTTCTGGGCACGGGATCTGTGCTGTGTTTAGCCTGTGGTATTCAAAAAGACAAAAGGACAAATGAAAAGGTGACACAACATCTAAAACAAATTACAGCGGCTACAGAACACAAGATTAATATGGCTGTTAGGAAACATCATCAACACATCTCAATTGTATTACTGTATTTCATAAACTCGAAGACGGCAGAGGTTTTAAGTGGCACCAAGATGCACAACCAAGAACGACGAAACACTGGCAATTCATCTGTATCTCATAGCCTCTAACACTCAGTCCCATTCCAGAGATGTTAAACTGTGCAATGTGCATCTCAGAATTGAACTACAGCAGTTATGTCTTCTGAGTTGATTAGCCTCAACAATGATTAATAAAACAGTTGGGACTCACAGTGCCTGGCTGGCTCAGTGGGTAGAGCACATGACTCTTGACCCTGGGGTCTTGAGTTAGAGCCCTGCCCACACAGGGTGTAGTTTACTTACAAAAAAACCAAAAACCAAAAAACCAAAAACCAGTTGGACTCATACCTAATAGCTAACTGAACACAAGAAGATTTCAAAAGGACTTTCAAAACAAGTATTTAATACTAAAATATCCAATGTATGTCACCAATGCACAGCAGATAAAATGGTAAAAGGTGCTCGAAAGAGAAAAAAAAACTTCAAATTTTTGAGAAAACTTGATCTCAGCTAAATAAGTTGCCCTCACCTGATATAAAAGTGTCAGCACAAAGAACGTATAAATATGTCCAAGACTGGACTGAAATCAGAAAAGGAAACTATGATAGAGTTTAGGTCCTAACAAAATTGTCTAAAACTCCAATGCCTATAAAAAAATGACACATCAGTCTCAAAACCTGTGTATTTCCCTGCTTAAAATCTTGCAACAGCCCCCTATCATCCTCAGTATAAATTTTAAATGCTTTCACATGGCTTCCAAGGTGCTTGGAATGATCCAGCCTTGCTGAATAAATGTGAATTTTTCCATAATGGGTTCTCAAAACAGAGAAAACAAGGTAGTTCTTATTTGTCCAGGAATGTGCCACTTCTGCATACCTCAGCAGATCTAATGGAAATGAGCAGCACTACAAGTCCCCACCTTTGGACAGAACCACCCTGGGATATGCCAGCAGGAAGGAGCGGGGCCAGTATGTCGGACACAGCACAGCCACACGCCCCAGAGAGTCACCTGATTAAGTTCCTCATTTCTTTTTCTGCCCAAGTTTTCACCATTTTTCTGGGGTTTCCTTTACAATAGCCATGACGAAATCTTGAACGAGAAAAATATTTGTTATTCCAATCACTCCATTATCCCAGTTCTTATTTTAGGATATAGAAATTAGCCCAACTGGAAAAAGAATCTGAACTCACCTGAATTCCCCACTTACATACTTATCCCGATCTTTGAACACTAAAATAGAAGTTTTGTAAATTTTGATGGCTCTGCTCTCTCCATTTGCTGTGCTAGCATGGTACACATTAGCCTATTTTGCATCAAAAACAAATTAAGTTTATGTTAGATAACTACACACAGTATTTCAATCTTTCACTCTATTCGATTCTGTCCTCAAAAGTTAAAAAAAAGTCAAGTGAACTCAAGTAACATGTACAAGAAACACCATCATCTTCTGATTATATCAATTAAAATGCAAAACATCACTACCAAAAGGTACAGTAAGTAGACCTCTAATTTACGTATATAGGAAGATCCAATTTATATACAAGAAGCGGCTTTCAACATTTTTGTATCTCAAGTATGTGAAAAATATTTTAAGACATTCTTACATCTCATGATTTGTAAACTGAGTTTTACTGAGAAGTGCTTCCCATAGAATGAGTGGCTAATTTAAAAAATGCCATGTCTGTGGGGCGCCTGGGTGGCTCAGTCGTTAAGCATCTGTCTTCAGCTCAGGTCATGGTCCCGGGGTCCTGGGATCGAGCCCCGCATCAGGCTCCCTGCTCAGCGGGAAGCCTGCTTCTCCCTCTCCCACTCCCCCTGCTTGTGTTCCCTCTCTCGCTGTGTCTCTGTCAAATAAATAAATAAAATCTTAAAAAAAAAAATGCCATGTCTGTCTTTCTCCATATACACATACAAAGAAAAAACGGGAAAGAGAGTCACTGACTCAGAAAGACTAGACTAAGCCCCTGCCCCGTTAGTAACCATGTGATAAGGACTCAGGCCTGCAGTAATCTGACCCTGGGCACCACCTGGACCCAGGGATCCAGTACAGTAACAGAGGTGAAAAGGCAAGGTTATGTGTACAACTTCCTAGCTACCCATAAATATTAATAAAGCTGTTTTTAGAAATACTAAGCTATTCTGACTTGTGTATTTTTTTTTCTTTTCTTTTTAAAGGCACCATTTATTTACTAAGTGCCTTAGTTTCATTTGTTATCTGAAGTAAGAAAACTAACATGAAAACATTCAGGCATCCAAAGAAAAGCTCACTTCTTTTCCTGTGCTTATGCAGCCATTTATCTCAGATATGATTCCTCTAGTCAACATCTTGAATAATATCATTCGCGTTCTAGGATCCAACACCTAAAAAATGCAAAAAATAAAAAAGTTCAGAGAGACAAAATATTTCTCATTGAAACATGTGACCATTAATAACCTGAAGAGCTTAAGTACTAAGCTATCCTGGCTGACTCAATGAAGAGTATCAACTGTGGTGTTTTTATTCACTATAATTTTTAGCAAATAAAATGCCACATGAAGGTGAAAGGAACAAGAGATGAACCAACAAGTTCAGTCACAGAAATTAAAGTCTACCAAGTCAAAGGGAAGCAGAAATTGACGGTAGACTGACATTAGCTAATAGAATATAATGCAAGTCACATAACTAGGTTTACATTTTCTAGTCACATTAAAAGGAGTAAAAAAGAGCAGGTAAAATTTATTTATTTAATCCAGTATATCTAAAACATCAGTTTCAACATGCAATCGATATAAGTTATCAGCGAGAGATTTAACACTGCATTTTTTACCCCAAGCCTTCACACCAACCCTGTTGATGTTGACAGCACATCTCAATTCAGACTAGCTACATTTTAAGTGCTCAGTGGCCACTGTACTGGATATGCAACTTTAAATCAGAGGTCAGCACCATATAGCTCATGAGTCAAATCCAGGCCACAGCCTGTTTTTCTACAGCCTGCAAGCTAGGAATGGTCTTTACATTTTACAATAGTTGTTAAAAAAAAAAAAAGGAATTGTGAGCCACAATGCTTAAAGTATTTATTTAACCCTTTAAAGAAGGAGTTTGCACACCTCTGCTATAGATGAGTAAATCAGGGAAAGGGTCTCCTTTGAAGTCAGAGCAATCAATCTTGAGTAAAAAGGACTCCAAAGTCCTGGTCCTGTCCGTGCCTGAACTGAAGCAGCCACATATTTACACACACTTTTAAGGGACACTCACAACAGCCCCTCCAGCTCCACGGAGAGGGACGGTGTAAAGTGGCCCAATCTAACTACGTTTTAGGGTCTGTCCTTCAGTGACACAGCTGCAGTCACACCAGAAACCTAAGGTTAATAAAAACAAAACCCTGGAAGACTGCACGACTAAAAGCCAAACAGCATCAATGGCAACTAGAGCGAAATGAGAGGGAAGTGAGCGACCAGAAACTAGCTGCCCAGGCGGCTGGGCGCGCAGGTGAGCAGAGGTAAGGCGCGCTGCTGGAGCAGAAGATGTAGACAGGCGCCTGCACTGCTGCAGAACTGGGGGGAAGCCAAGTCAGGGCCATAGGAGGAGCAACGTGCCAAAATGGCTTGTAAACAAAATGGGAAAAAAGAAATCTGTAGTGAATGAACTTACAAATACATACCTTAAAATACCACCTGAGATCAAGATATACACTCTTAATTCCACATTAATTTCGAAAGGGGAAAAAAGGACATCCTGCCTTAGTCCTTTTAGGGTCTGTGACAATTAGAGCACTTCTCTCAGCTGGACTACCCTTTGTGTTCAATCTCTCTCTCACACACACACACACACACACACACACACACACACACACACACCACACACAAAATAAATACATGAGAGGGCAATGAAGACATGGATCCCAGACCTACTCCCGCCCAACTACGGGTAGACTTCTCTAACTGCATAAGTGGTTCTGAGCTCTGACTGGGTGTGACTCCTTCGGGGCTCAGGTGGACAGCAGCAGGGGCGGTGGAAGAGGCTATGACTGAAAAGTGAGTTTGCGCCTCTGTGTAGGGGTGGGCAGAAGGGTGGGAGGTGGCACTAGTAATGTTCTGACCCTTTCTATCACCTTCTTCACATCAAAAATCTGGGCCAATGCTAACATCCAATCACAACTCTCTACATATGGGGAAATTAGGAAAATTTGTCCCCACTCTTGAATAGAAAGAATAAAATAAGCATATTTCTAAACCAAGTAAGGAATTTCTGAATAAATTCTGGTCTTACAGTAAATTCTGCTTCCCCACAGAAGAGAAAAGCACTGCATGGTGGCCAGAGTGGGGCATGACTCTAATTTATCTATTAACAGTCCTAGTATAAATAAAGCAAAATGTAGATTTCTAAACTCAAAACTACAAGGAGTAGTTTTAGACAACATTAGCATTAAGCAAGAAGGATGAATGCAAACTATAATCCCAAGAGAAAAGAAATGCTCATTTAAAACGAGACTTGCAGGGTGCTTGGGTGGCTCAGTCGGTTAAGCGTCTGCCTTCTGCTCAGGTTGTGATCTCAGGGTCCTGGGATCAAGTCCCGCATGGGCTCCCTGCTCAGCAGGGGAATCTGCTTTTCCCTCTGCCTCTGTCCACCTCATGCTCTCTAATAAATAAATAAAATCTTAAAATAAAATAGAGAGCTTGCAGCACATTGAAATTGTACCTGTTCCACAGTTGCTCTGTCCGCCTTATCTTTGATGCGATACCTAACCAAAGCCAAAAAAGTATATGTGACATTCAACATTTAGAAGCCAAAATAAAGTTTCCAAATGTACATCATTCCATGAAATTCCTAAATAGGTAGTTTCTTTAGTAACAGATTTCATAATCTCATTGTAGTTTCATTGCTCGGTGATGATTCCTTCACATCCCCTTAATCATCAATTCAGTTCCCTAGAGCAAAAGGAGCATATCTGCAATAAGAAAAAATAATTCTCTCCATATTTCAGAAGGACTGAATAAAAAGAGCAGCTGGAGTAAAGTGAACTACGCTGCAAAAGAGAAAACATCGAGTCTGTTAATACTGTCCTTAAATCTTTAATGATTCTATTAATACAGAATTAAAGTCATTTATACTGCTTTCTCTTTAGAGTTCCTTTCTACAAAGATACAAATTTTTATCATCTTCAGGTATTTACTGGGCTCTACATTAAAATGCAAACTCTGATTGGCTTCAGCTCACACACTAAGTGACTCTATTAGCACTAAACTCATAAAGATCCAAACACAAAGATTCAAACAAACACTTCCATGAAATAACAAATGACTATGGCAGTTCTCAAAAAGCTTCTATCTTGGGGCACTTGGGTGGCTAAGTCAGTTGAGCGTTGGACTCCCGGTTTCAGCTCAGGTCATGATCTCAGGGTTGTAAGACTGAGCTCTCCCCTCCCCCCACACTCTGCACTCAGCATGGAGTCTGCTTGAGATTCTCTCTCTCCCTCTCCGCCTCCCTTGGCTCCAGTGGGTGCACACGCACTCTCTCTAAAAATAAATAAATTTTTACAAAAAGAAAAGAAAAGAAAAGCTGATATCTCTTGGGTATAGCAATAAACCAGAAGAAAACTGGTTTTTAAGTTCAGTTTTTTTTTTTTTTAAGATTTATTTATTTTAGAGGGAGAGAATGCATACATACATGCATACCCCAGCAGGGGGAGGGGCAGAAGGAGAGAGAGACTCTGCAAGCAGACTCCAGCAGAGCCCGATGAGGGGCTCCATCTCACGACCCTGAGATCACAACCTGGGCGAAAATCAAGAGTTGTACACTTAACCTACTGAGCCACCCAAGTGCCCCTTAAGTTCGGTTCCAACGCTACTAGTTGTATAATCTTAGTATCACTTTCTACAATATACTGTAAACACCTTAGAGTTATTAGGATATAGAAGTTAGCCAGATCTTAAACAACTGATTTTGAGAGGAATAAATAAAAACTGTTCTTAGTTATATCACTATTTAGTTTTAAATCTTCCCTTGAATTTTTAAAAATATTTCATGGAAGGGAAAAAATTTTAATAAATTCTTAAAAGGGAACATTTTTACACTCTAACATTTTAGTTTAAACTAGAATCTACATTTTAATTTAAAACCATTACCCTCCTGAGAGTACATCTGTGAATTTCACAAAATTATAGTTTGACCATACATTTCTTAAGACTCAATATTTTCAACTTATAAAGGAAAGGATACCCTCACTTAAGCTAAAAAAAGAAACAAAAAACTAGTTTAAGTATGCAAAGAAATACCCTTTCCAAAAGAATTATGACCAAGATGCTACTTAATTTGTTTGGAATTAGTCCCTATAATTCATGTATTATAGTTAAAATATTACTTACATATCTGCTTCCTTTTGTCTAGACTTTTCGGTGACTTTATTTATGACAGAATCAGTAACATTGAGCTTTTCTGAAAATTTAAAAATCCACAATGTAAACAACATTTAAGACAAAAAGACAACAGTCTGAACAGAATACTTCCCTCTTCCTTATTTTCTAACTATTTTGTTGTACAGAAAGTATCTTTTAATAATGAAAAAATGTTCATGTTTTTATAGATGAGCACGAAGTTCTGTCTCCTTAGTGCCAAGTATTGTCACTGTCATCACCACAGCTATAATTTCTGAGCCACAGAAACCTGGACCCGGGAATCCCCTCCAAAATACTTCACCTGCATTGCTAAATTTCAGACACTTGTTAATACTTTACACAACTAATATGGATAAGATGACTGCCTGAATTCCAAGTCTAATTCTAAAAACTTCAAGTTTCATTTTAAATTATAAGTCAACGATAGGCTAGGAGAGAGGTGCTAGGTTTATAGTGAGTGAACATCCACAAGACAAAGATGACCCTGCATTTTTCAAGAGGTGGTGGTTCAAATCAACATGCGATGGCTCACTAAATGGTTGATGCCTACATAAAAAGTGTCTAATAAAACAAAACGTACTTAGATTCTATATTCTAGTACAGTTGACCCGTGAACAACATGGGTTTGAATTGCGCAGGCCCACTCACATGCAGATTTTTCACAGCAAAGTACTGCACATTGTATTCCCTCTTCCTTATGATTTAACATTTTCTTTTCTCTGGTTTCCTTTACTGTAAGAATTAAGTATATAACACATATAACATATAAACTCTGCGTCTATCAACTGTTTTTATGTTATCGGCAAGGTGTCCTGTCAACAGTGGGCTATTAGTAGTTAAGTTTTGGGGGAAGTCAAAAGTTATACATGGATTTTCGACTGTGTGGAGTCAGCACCCCAACTCCCGTGTTCAAGGGTTAAGTGTATTTTCAACATCCTACTATGAGATGATCTTACCATAAAATCTAATACAAAACAGATGAAAACTTGAACAGGTACCTGTAACTTTATAATTCTATAGCAGAGGAGAAAACAGAACTAAAAAAGCAAAAGCTAACATCTCTTCCTGAAGTCAGGTTTTTAAATTACTGAGTTTTTATCTTCTCTAAATGTTATCATCAGCCAGTAACAGTGAATATGCTCATTTCTTGATCTAATAACATTTTATAACACTTTATGGTCTCTGAAGAACTTCCTCAGAGCCCAAATATATTTTATGAACTCACCTAGATTAATTTTATTCTCAAATTTCCGTAAGACCTTGTCTGCTGGAGTAGACATTTTGGCTGAATTGCAATTGAAAGTCTGTCGATTTGCCTAGAAGAAATGAGTTTCAGAGTTGAAGACACTAGTTTTAAATAAAGACCGAGGGTTCTTTATCATGTGCCTTTTTCCTTAGCTCTCAGTTAATTAACTATTAAAGCATCAATACTTGAATGAGAACCCTAAGAAAGGGTTAAGAATCAATCATACTTGTGCAAGAAATTTTTTTAAAAGACATTTGAAATAGGACAAAGTTTAGTGGTTAAAGGAGTCTGTACCATCTGCCATTTTTTAACCTCTCTGCAATGTATTCCTCATTATTATAAATAACAAAATTAAATGCATTTTTTGTGTGACTGCTTTATAGATTTAAAATTTGAAAATGTCCATTTACACCCAAAGTGTATAACAAAGAGCTTAGACCAACATTAAACTGGTTCTAAGAATCTCATTTTGGGCCTACTGTCTCAAGAAAGGGAAAGATTAGGTATGAGGCTTAACAACTTAGACTGGCACTATGCATAAACTTAAGTAATAGCAAAAAGAGAAGAAAGAACCCATAAATAAGAGAATACAGTACAGATAAAGAGTGCCCATAATAATTGCTAACTTAATCCTGTTATCTCAACTTGGAAGTGTGAGGCTGATTTGTTTCTTGTTTGCATAGACCTCTTTAAAATTTTCTACTAAATACAACTTTTAAAACATTTCTAAATACAGGTTCACAGTAGAAAACACAGGTAAAATTTTAATCACCTATAATCCCCAACACCCAAGATAACAGTTAACATTTAAGCACATATACTTACTTGTATTTCCAGCTTTATTAAAAGGGACTACTCTATGTTGAAATAGCTCAACATCTCACCGATGAATCAATGGAGGAGTTACCAAAACAAGACCCCAAGTGTGAAATTCATCTGGTTATTTTTAATTGCAGGCATTCTAGTCTACGAAACAGTCTTAATATTCAAAGAAATATTGTTGGTTTTTCCCTCCCTCCATCTCTTTCAGAAACCTTTATGCTCCAGGAAGATGTACCATGTTAATCCTAGGACTCTGCAAACTCCTAAAACATTAAGTACTTCCAGTTGAGAAGAAGACTTTATGTAGTTTGGTAACTTGCGTTTTGTACACAGATCATGGTAGATCATAAACACATGTTCATGTCATTAATATAGTCTTTAAAGCTGCACAATATCCCATCATGTGAAACCAGTCCCTCAGTAAATTTAACCAAGAGGTTCCTTCCACTGTTTCTCTATAAGCAATACTGGAGGATCATTCTTGTAACATTATTCTTGGCACAATCCTAGAAGAACTGCTGAGTCAAAGCATTTATTTTATGTTTTAAACGCTTTTTATCACATACCAGTTCATCCTCCAAATAACTGTGCTTACTCAATCAACAATTATGTATTCTGGGTCTTGGTCAGTTTCATAGGTGAAAAAATGGCATCTCTACACATTTAATCTGCATTTCTTTAATTATTAAGGAAGTTAAACTTTTTTCTCCATGTTTCCTAACCACTTGTAGTAAACTGCCTATTCACGTCCTTTGCCATGCAGATTTTAAAGCTCATCATCTTATCATAATTTAAATGACTCTTTTATTATGAAAGGAATCTACATCCAGGAAATGATCAGAAATAGGAAAAGAATGAAGAACGAAAATGGTTAAAGACTGGGGCTACAGGGCAACAAAACCTGAGGGAAATCTTTCAGTTAGTCAATTCCAGAATGACAAAAAGTCCTTTGAAAAAAGACGACATAAACAATAACATAAAGATGTATAAAATCATTTATAAAATACCTGGGCGTTACTCCTTGCATTCGAGATAGAACCCTTGGTGAGTTTCCCAACTCCATCATCCCAGTCCCAGTCATCATCATCACCATCGTACTCCTCTTCCTCCTCCTCCTCCATCTCACCTCCCTCCGTCTTCTCAGACACTCTCTTCTGCAGGTCCTCAAACAGAACACCATCTTGTTCTCTGATGGTCTTCAAGTCAATGCTTTCACTAGAAATAACAATGTTTCAGCATGTTTACACATACCTCTACTTGGATTTACACATGTATTTATTTGTGATACAACAGCCTAAATCTATACCAATAAATCTAAAAGTTTTCCTTCCAAAGTACCTCCCCCATAAACTCAACACCAGATTGTTTTTCACAGTGCCATTCCCACTGTTTGTTTCTTCTCCAGGTCCTACTAAAGAAGAACAACATCTGGTATAAAACCCACATCTGCCTTAATGAAGTTAGGATTTACACTGTCATTTTCTCTGCTGAACGAATGGACTCTGACCAGTACACCAGACCTGGCTCTAGGAAAACCATTCACGGGGCGGGGGGGGGGGGGGCTTTTTGACAAAATTTGAGAATAAGTCTAAAGCAGCCTTACCTTGAACTTAATGCCACTCCAACAAAAGGAGCTGTATCAAGATTTGTGTCACACAAAGAACTTCAAATCAAATCACCCTTGTTTGTGAAGGGAAGGAATGGTGAACACAAGCACCACAAATGAGAGAGGGAGTCTGTGTGTAATTCGGTACGAGAAGTAGTGAATTCTCAAACCCAGAGAACAGGCCCAGAGTAAAGGGAGCACAACAAACAGGGTGTTTTCCTGCCATGTGAAAATTCACATCAAGTGCTACCATATCTTCTTAGTTATTCAAGAGAAGCCAGAAGTATGGATTTTTGTGTTAAATCTCCCGCTTAACTGGTACATTTAATTTTAACAAAACACCGTGCATACCAAACAAAATATGTCTGCAGGTCAGATTCAATAGAGGTACTACCAGTTTTGACATCTCATGTAGAGAACAAAGACAGGAACCACATATTACAGCTGATAATGTGAACTACCATCTTAAAGACAGTTAGACGAGAGTTTAGTAAATTCAGATGATCAATCCTGATTATTAATTAGCAACAGCTCACAGGGCTCCAACTCTCCATAGATATGGGTGGGAAGAAAATAATCATTACACACCTGCTATTTATATTTACTATGATTTTGTAAATACAATCCTTAATTTGATCCTTCAATTGCCAGTAATTTAGAGTGGGATGTTTAAGTTACACTTCATTTCTACCAGAACTTCTCAACCTCGGCTGGACAATTTTTTATTGTGGAAGGTCGTTTTGTGCCTTATAGGATGTTTAGCAGCATCTCTGGCCTCTACCAACCAGATGCCACTATGCACTCCCCCCACCTCCCTGTTGTAACAAACAAATGTCTCTAAAGATTGCCAAGAAACCCTGGAGTGTGGTGGGTTCACAAAATCCACTGGTTTATCTTCACAATATCCACTGATGGATGGAAAACCAGTGCACACTCATTACTGTTAACTCACCAGCCACACTGGGCTGTTTCGTCTTCCTGCTTCTTCCCTAAAGCCTTATATGCTTATCTGGAAACAAAAATCTGGAATGCATTTGAAATAAAATCTTATTTCTCTGGCTAAATCCAATGTAACCTTCCAGTACTAGCCTATGATCTTTTGCTCCGGGAAGTCTTCCCTATTCCGCACCCATTTTTCCTCTATACTACTTACCCAATTCTAATACAAATATCTATTGTCTAATTATTTAATGTTTCTCCTCCTACCACGCAAGCCCTGTGTCAATCAAGGTGATGTTTACCAATGTATCCCTACCCACTAACATTAGATCTGACACACAGAAAATGATCAACATGTATTTACTGAAAAAATCCCCGATTGATAAAATCTTCATGTAATGAATCCCTACTGTGAACATAAAGTAAAAACCACTTATTTGGAATTTCAAAGGACTCTCGTACTTCATGTAGGAGTTATCCTTAATTCCTTTTGCCTCACAGCTCACATCCAATCCACCAAATCTTGTCACTTCTTACGTCCAAAACATGTCCCTGTGACCCTATATCTAGCTCCCGTCATGTCTGAACTGAATAAATTTTTTTGAGAGAGACAGTGCAAATGAGTTGGGGGTGGGGGGGTGCAGAGGGTGAATCTTACGCAGATGTGGGAATCCAGAGATAGTTAACTGAGCTGAAATCTCAAGTCAGACGCTTAACCAACTGAGGCACTCAGGCGCCCCTACTTTATCAATTTTGAACTGCTTCCACTCATGCCCTCCAAAACCATCCTCTCTATAAGAGTAATTCCTTTAAATCATAAATCACATTATGTCATTCCCCTGCTAAAATCTCTCCTACAGCTTTCTATTAAGACCTAAATATCCCAACTCCTCAACACTTACAAAGTTCTACATGATCTGGCCCCTTCTCACTTCTACATCAGTACCTAGCCATCTTCTCAACTACTTCTGTTGTGCGCTAGGTACAATGGCCTGTAAATCTTCCCTCCACAGCCAAGAGGGATACCAACGTTGGGCCTCTGCACTGTGGTCTCCTCTTGCTGAACGGCTATTCCTTCTGCTCTTGAGGTTAGTTCCTTTTTGTCGTTCAGATCTGAACTTAACTCTCTCCTGACATTGTCATTAGTCTACCAACTGATTTTAATTATTTGCATAGTGTCTAATATCTGCTTTTTGTTTTTTTTTTTTTAAGTAACTCTAGGTACTCAATTGTCAGTCCGTCCCAAGTAGAAGGTAAAATTCAATGACAGCAGGGACTTAGTCTTGCTCATCACCATCTCCAGCGCCGAGGTCAGAACCTGGCATACAGTAGGTGCTCAAATATTTTTTGAACGCTGAATGCAGTTAAAGAGCAAAAATCTATGTTCCTAGCCGCTATCCCCAACTGTGCCTGTCAGCGATGCTAACTAATCGGGGACTCCTTTGACAAGGGGCTTTCATTAACTCTGCAGCAAAGTGGGATACAAGACCCGGTTGGGACGGAGAGAGAAGCGGAACAACTACCGGTCTCCCTCAAAAGCCTAAAGGGGCCGCGACGGAGGAGACAGCAGCATCCCAATGGAGTCACAGTGTCCAACCGGCGCCCACCTGTCGGAGGAATCCGCGTCGTCAAACTGCCCCGGGACCACCCGACTCATCAGCAGTCGCCGGTAGTCCATGACGGAAGCGCGCAGAGCCTCGACACCCCGGGAGGCCCTCCGCCCAGCGCTGGGACAGGAACCGCACAGAGACAGCCCTACCCGCGGCCCACCAAACCGCCTTTCGGCAGAGGCCCGGCTAGCAAACTACTCAAAAGCCCCTAAGCTGAAAGCGAACGCCACGTGCTAAATAAAAAGAGGACGCACTTTCAACCCGAGGAAGCAAGCTCTCCCCGACCGGAAACTCCCGCCCGACCGGAAGTCTCAGCCCTGCCGGAAGTTCCGCGCCTCCACAGCTTCGCCCAAGGGGGCGAGGGGCGGGGACAAGGGCGTGGGAGCCCTGCGGGCGGAGTTCCCCGCCGAGATTGGCTAGCGCGGCGGGCTGACGTCACACAGGGTCGTTCCACCCCGCCCGCTTGCTTTGCGCTACTTTTTTAAAAGCCTTTGTGGGGGAGAGGCCTAAAAGTGTTCTTCCCCCCGCAAAATCTCGCTTGGAGGGAGGAAGCACGAAATCCTTACTGCGGATCCAAGAAACTATGGACCCTGGAAGTGAGCACACTTTTTAGACTTAAGTTTGGTGCGTTGTTTTGAGGGGAAAATAAGTGATTTTAGAAAGTTTGTCATACGAACAGAAAAAAATTTAAAACAAAACTAGAATTTTGGGCGGTAACTCCCAATGACTTTTTTAACACCCATCTTAAAACAGCGTTAGACTGTCCTGGAATATCTATCCATATATCTGAATAAATATTTTTAAAGTGTGGCATAAGTCTGGTAAGGACAGAATGAAAATGGAAAGCTTAACTTAAAAAGTAAGCTGACAGACTGTGCCATACGAACAAAGTTCTAAAAGTGTAACTGGAAGTTCTAGACCATCAGAAAAATTTAAGAAATAGGCTCTTGCCTTTTTCTGCATTTGGAAAACAAAGATTTTTCAGATTCCCTTCACAGCCCAGGCAGCATTTATGTGTTTGGAAGATGGAAAAGGTGAGCATAAAGTTGGGCCTTTCACTAATCGCAGCTAGCCTGCTTGACTCACTGGCTTTTTTATACTTCCAGTGATGACATGATTTTGAAAAAAAAAAAAAAATCAGGCCTCAATAAATTATTCATTAATTCGATAATTCAATAAAATAATCCAGGCAAATGGCTAGTGACTGTAGATTGAGAAGTTTTAATAGAAATAAGTCATTGGACTGCAGGATTCATTCAATCAATATTGATTGTCTGAGCGACATTGCTATTTGCCATAAGGAGTACTGAAAAATCATGCATGGACTCCTCTGGAGGCGTTTATAATCTAAATACTGGGGCACTGGCTGGCTCCGTGGGAAGAGCATGTGACTCGATCGTGAGTTCAAGCCGTATGTTGGGTGTAGAGATTATTCAAATAAATGAAAATTAAAAAATCTGTAAATACCAACACCCTTGAGAGGGTGGCAAATACTAAAACAGTAAAATGAATAGGCGCTGAATTGTGATACAGATTTAGACATAACAACAGTGCAGGAATTTTAAACATAGATGAATGGGTAGATAGGAAGATTTCGGGAGAGAGAAGCATTTGCCATGTCAGACTGAAGTAGTAAGGAGCATGATCTATTTACAGGGAAGTGAGCCAGATCTGACTAGAACAGCGGAATACTGGATAGGTAACGTGGGTCCAGGCTATGGGAGACCTAGAAAGTCAAGCAGAAGAACTTGGACTCCATGTTATTGGACATCCTTTCCACTCCCATCCCCTGACAGACCTGAGGAAGTCATGAGAGTGTGGGCCAGTGTGATGATGTAAGAGGTGGAAAGAAAACATGGGTTATGAAAAACATTTCTAAAGGAGGAATGGACAGGACTTTGTAACTGGATAGCCCAGATGATGAGGTAGAAGGATACCAAAGGTGTCTCCAAGTTTTCAAATCCAAGTGCCTGAGAGAATAGTGTGGGATAGAAAAATGGGAGAAAACTGATTCACAACGTTGGATTTGATTTGATAATGACATAACAGAGAGTATCAGGTAAAGAACAATACAGTATTTTGTGGAACCTGATAGTCCTCTGATAATATTTTGTAAATATCTTTTAAGTAACTGAGAGGTCCCTTCATCTTCTGGGTCCCAAGTCTTTTAGGAAATTATAGTATAGTAGCCACATTTATACTGACTTGTTTTTGTCCAAATCAGTATTTGCTACTACACAAAGTAACCATGGTATATTTAACTAAAAATTTTTATTTTTCTAATAAACTGACAATGGACATTCAAAAATTTAGGACAATGAATGTTGCTTTCTTAATGCAAGGAGAGATGGGGGAAGGGAACCCTTTGTTTGCATATACTAATAAACATTAAAATTATGTTGTTTTTTAAAAGAAGCCTTCCATCATTCAACAGTTAGGAACAAGGACTGTCAAAAAGTTTGGTGATCATCTTCAGATCCTGCGCATTTTGAAATGGATGTTTCTCATGAAAAATTAGAAGGCATGTCAGAAGCGGAGGCCATGAATCTCAGCAGTCTTTCTCAAGACTTAACCCACTCAGATTCTCCCTTCTATATGGAAACCAGCAATACCACTTCAGACTTGCCTCAGGTGTGCATTGCTTATAAGTTCTAGGAGGTACAGATGTATTCAGCTTTCACATTGTCTTCCATACAAAAATCTCCTCAAAAATATGAGGAACAATAAAAGAATTTCCAGTGGAGGCTCAGAGGAGGGGAATACTGGGTTTGGTTTTCCCAGTTCCCTTAGTGTACAAAGAAAGAGAGCATTTTACAAATAGTGTTAAAACTGATCCTTTCCAGCCTCCATGTGAAGTCTTAAAGTGTGCAACCAAGGGACATGGCCATGACAACTCAGTGACAGGGGCAGGAAAATAGTCCAAGGGACCGGACATATTCTAGAGCATATTCTAACATGTCAGCATGCAAATGATTCAAATGTCATTCCTAATGGCATTGACAGACCCTGCATGTAAATGATTTTCTATCTTAAGGAAAATTCCAAGTGCCCTTTCTCACAAAATAAAAGGTTATATTGTCCCAAATCATGATGAATGTTGTTCTAAATGTTTCACAATTATTAGCAAGTATGTATTAGGTTGTGCCATATGTAATTTGACTTTGTTCAAAAATGGACAAATATTGGCAGTTTCATGTGGATTAGCCCATAAAATGGCATAACCTATCTAAAGGGCTATTTAGTGATAAGAAAACACATTTTATTTTTAATTCTACCTCAAGGAAGTATGCAAATGAGATATGTTCAGAATTACCTTTAATAAATAAACATTAGGGGTGCTGATGGGCTCAGTCAGAAGAGCATGTGACTCTTGATCTCAGGGTCGTTAAGTTCCAGCCCCAGGTTGGGTTTAGAGATTACTAAAAATAAATAAATAAACTTTAAGAAAGGTATTTAAAGTAAATAAGTAAACATGAGAAGCAACCTAAATTTTTATCAGTAGGGACCTAGTTAAATTATTTCACAGATTTACAGTGGACATGTAAACCTTAAATATGGTAATACAGAATTGACCCCTGAACAATGCAGGGCTTAGAGGTACCGACTCCCCTCACAGTTGAAAGGCTTCATATAACTTTTGAGGCCCCCCAAACCTAAGTACTGATAGCCTACTATAGAGCAGAAGCCTTAACAATAACATGAATGAATAGTTGATTGATTGAATGAGTTAACACATATTTTGTGTGTTATATTTATTATATACTGTATTCTTATAATGAAGTAAGCTAGAGGAAAGAAATGTGATTAAGAAAATTATTAGGAGTGGGGGTGCCTGGCCAACCCAGCATCTGACCCAATTTCAGCTCAGGTCCTGATCTCAGGGTTGTGAGCCTGCCTCAAGCTCAGCCCTGAGCATGGAGTCAGCTTAAGACTTTCTCTCCCTCTCACTCTGCCCCTCCCCCCGCGCTCTCTCTCTCTACTGCCTCCTTTCTGTCAAATAAACAATTTTTAAAAAGATTTTATTTATTTGAGAGAGTGAGAGAGAGAGCAGGGGTGGGGAGAGAGAAGCAGACTCCCAGCTGAGCAGGGAGGCCAAGGCAGGGCTCTATTCCAGGACCCTGAGATCACGACCTGAGCTAAAGGCAGACGCTTAACCATCCGAGCCACCCAGGTGCCCCTAAACAAATTAAATTTTTTAAAAAAGAAAATCATTAGGATAAAATATATTTACAGTATTATACTGTATTTCTCAGAAAAATCTATGTGTAAGTGGACTTGGGCAGTTCAAACTCATGTTGTTCAAGGATGAACTGTATATTTGTTGATGTATAAAAATGATCATATAGCTTCTCCCTGGGTAATGGGCTTTTGAGTGTTTTTACTTTCTTTTAAAAAAATAATGTTAAAGATTCTTTTATATAATGATAATTTTTATCATATTTTCATTTTAAAAGAAAATTTTGTTATAGTGTTAATCAGGGTCTGACATCTGATGTATCAAATTATAAAGAACGAATGTCTTAAATTATGTAAAGAGGTTCTCTTTCTTGGAATTCACTGAGTATTTTGTTCTTTATAAAGAATTTATAGACTAAAGGAACAAAAAGCATATTTTAGTTAAAAACACTATTATCATAGAAGGCTAGAGTTAGAAGTGAGCTCTGAAATTTGACAAATAGTGGAGTTCCAAGAAGTTTGTGTAAATATAACATCAATACATATGAATAATGCTATTTTATTTTTCAAGTATATTATTCTTGATACTTTTAAAATCTCATTAGCAGGAATGGTCTAAATTAGCAAGGAGTCTAAAAAAACAAATTGTTGTAAAATATAACTCAGTTTTTCTCATACTTGAGGTACATTCAATAAGTGCAACAATGTTAGAAGAAGCATGATTGAATAGAGGTTTGTAACCAGATGACTTTAGTAAGAGATACAAATTTTTTTAGAGCATCCTCTAGGTCTCACATACTTGATACACTATCCATGATTAAACCAATGCTTTCCTCAAACTTTCAAAATGCTTTCTTTACTATCTTAGTCATACTATTAATTTACTTCACAAAACCTTTTTATCCTAGATAACATTAAGGTAACTTTGAGAATAAGCCCTACATGAATTTTTTAGATTTCTATCTGTTGGAATCATATTTCACCTCATTACTGGAACCCCGGATCTTCACTGTCAAGACCTGAATAACAACTATCCTTGTAGTTGTTTAGGCCAGATTTAGCCAACTTCAAAGGGTGATCAGAGATATATATATTATCATACATCCCTATGTTTATAGT